TTTATTTATAAAAATAATTTTTAATAATAATAATAATAATAATTATTATTATTAACCGCATTTCATCCCGATCCTTTCCCCCCTCCTCCCCTCTACTCCCCTCCCCGCCTTCCCTCTCATCACCCTGAAAAAAAAAAAAAATTTATCAATAATTAAAAACAAAAATGAATTTTCCAAAACAATCAAAATATTTTTTCTTATTAGTATTATCATCATCATCATTGGATAAATATCGATTTTAAATAATAATAATAATAATAATAATAATTGTTAAGAATGAAAATGATATGAAAGATATAAAGTAAAAACTCTGACGAGGAAACTCAAAAGAATTTTTTTTTTTTTTTTATTCCGTCGAGCATTTCAGGAGCAGCAGTCGATAAACGTTTTCAGTCGTGCTCGGGATCTCCGGTGGAAAACATTTATTTATTATTAACGTTAAATAATAATAATAATAATATTTATTTATTTATTTAAATAATAATATTTAATAAATTTTGTTTTTTTTTTTTTCAATAGTTTTAATTATAAAAATAATAATAATAATAGTAATAATAATAATTTAATCAGTTATAATTTTTTTTTTTCATCATTCGTCGTTTCGTTGTCATAAATATTTAATCGAACCGGAAACAGGAAACGGAAAAGTTTTATTTCTTTTGTGTGATTTTTTTTTGTTCTTACATAAAATTTGTTTTATTAAACACAATTAATAATAATACTAATAATAATAAATTAATCATATAATTAATATAAAAAAACAAAACAAGCAAACAGAAAAAAAATGATTCGTCAATAAAAGTAAGTTTTCTATTTATTTATTTATTTATTTATTAATGATGATGATAATAATGATTTGTGTGTTTTAACTTATTTATTAATGATTTTTATCGTAAACTATTCGATGATTATTTAAAACGATAATGATGATTATAGCACGTAATAGATTACGAATAAAAAAATAAAAAAAAAATTGAAATATTTTCTTTTTTCTCGAGGAGGGGGAAGGGGGGAAGGGGAGAGGAGGGAACGAAAAAATTCATTTTCGCGGTTTACGAAGTTAGGGGGTGGAATTTTTTTTTGATTTTTAAAGTTTTTATTTTCGATTGGCGATCGATAATTAATTAATTAATTACTTTTTTCCTCTTTGTAAAAAAAAAAAATCCCAAATAAATTTTTTTCTTTTTTCCGATATCAAATTTTTTTTCTCTTTCTCTTTCTCTCTCTATCTCTCTTCATCCTTCTCTCCCTTCTCATCCCCCATTTTTTTCTCTCATTTTTTAAAACGCATTTTTACGGCTTTAAAAAATAATAATAGTCTTAACAATAAAAACCTTATGATGAAAATGACAAAAAAAAATCGAATACGCACAATGAGAGAGAGAAAGAGAGAGAGAGAGTCAGAGAGAGAAAAAGAGAGAGAGAGAGAAATAAAAAAAAAATAAACTCATCGGATTTTATTGTCGCCGTAGGAGTAATTTTTACCATAAATGAAAATTTTTACTTTTTTCCTTTTTTTTTTCTTTCGTGTTATTTACACGCGTAAAGCAATTATAAAAATAAAAAATAAAAAATTTATTTAAATCTACTGCCACGACGTCATTATTATGATAACGATGATGATGATAATGCTGATTAATTCTCATTAATCAAGAAAAAATGTATTAAAAAAATTTTTTTTTTCAACTGTCATTGACAAATTTTTCTTATACTAAAATAATTTTCCTATTATTATTATTATTATTATTATTATTATTATCGCTTTCTATAATTATCCAAAAAAAGGTTCTCATCGAGATGATGATAATAAAATAATTTAATAAAATGATAAAACGATGATGATGGGGGGGGGGAAAATTTTTTTTTTTTTTCTAACCGTTTTCCGCGTGTGTGTGTTACCA